TTACTGTGTGAAAATGAAATCTGAGGAGAAATTCAGATGGCTCTAAGAGTATTTTTGAAAGAAGCAAATACGCATTGGAACATTTGCTTAGTGAGACTTAGGAGGTGGAGATGTGGGGAAAAGCCTATGGGCCTGTGGCAGAAGGAATAGAGATCAATAGTGATGGGTTGTAGGGGAGGAGAGAGTTATTCTGGGGCTTAAGTCAGAAGGAGTTTTGGGAAATAGGATGAGAAAAGAGGATTGAAAAACTGTCAAGGATAACATGGATATTGCTGTCACTCTAGCTTCTTGTCAAATCTATCTTTAGAAGAGGGATGGGAAAACCCTTTTACTGTACTGACGTACCCCACTCCTCCGCCCAATGAGAAGGAGAATGACACTCATCACATTCCCCTTCACACCAGAGCCTAGGGGAGCCCAGGTATGTGCTCCAGCCCCACAGGAAGATGGTGGTGGAGTGGGGCCAGGAATTGCAGTGTGGGATATCCAATGCTTGGCCAAGCTGCGGGGTCCAGATCCAGGCAAGCAGAACATAAGAACAGCCATAATAGGTCTGACTAAAGGCCCATCTAGTTCAGTATCCCCATACTTCTTATGGGGAACAAGTAAATAGATTTTCCTTATTTACTTTCTCCACACTGGTTATGATGATGTCATATTAACTATCATCCAGTTCAAAAGATGATGTAAAGGATAGCTTACAATTCACAATTCCACAATTTCTTTCAGACCTCTCGGGTAAATGTTATAAGGTCCCGGTGACTTGTTACTGTTTAGTTTATCATTTTGTTCCAAAACTTCCTCTAATGAGACCTCAATCTAGGACAATCTAGGACAATTCCCCAGATTTGTCACCTAAAAAGAATGTCCCAGGTTTGAGAATCTACCTCACATCCTCAGCTGTGAAGAACAATGCAAAGAATTCAGTTTCTTTGCAATAACCTTATTGTCCATGAGTGCTCCTTCAGGTCATCTTTTTGAGTCTCTCCTTCTCTCTGGCGATGTTTAACACTTTCACTGATTCCTAGCCTTAATCTATTTTCTAGCTTGCGCTAGTATCCATCTCTCCAGCTCATTGGATTTCATTGTCTCCCGCACCCACTAAGCCAGCTGGCTCCCAGTCTCTCCAGTCCATTACTTTCACTGGCTCCTGGTGCCAGTCCCCTTATCAAACCAAACTCAGCCTACTCCCAGTGTTTTGTTTTCCCCTGATTTCTAGACCCAGTCTCCCTTTTCCAGTTCCCAGACACAGTTTCTCTCCCTTTCACACTCATTGTCCCATTTCCCTTCCCTCTGGTCTGGCTGTTGCTTCCTCTGCATTTGAGTCAGATGAATTTCTCTACCATATAGTCTAGGTGCCAGCAGAAGGGTCACAAAAAGGAAAGGAATGACAGGCTGGCTCTCTGCTCTCTTTTCCAGGGCCTGCTCCCACGCTGGCCGGCAGCAGCAATTACAGGAAAGTACTTCTGTGCACTCTGTGATAGGGAGAGCATGCCCAGTTTATCTCTGAGGATGGCTCATACTCAGCCTGATGAAGCTGCTCAGTGAGGACAATTTCAGAGGTTGTAACTCTAGAACTCTAGCGAGTCTCTACTGAGCAAGTACAAACTGCAGAGTTTGGGAGTTTTGGGGAGGTTATTTTTGAAGGCTTATAACTTAACCAAAAGTGGGTAGATTTTCATGGGAACAATAAAGAACACATCCCTCATGCAAAGGTCAGTCACTCTCAAATTTCACATCTCCGCTGCATATTGTTGAGCTCCTCCTAGAATAGGTTCTAAGAATGTTTTAATGTGGGCAAAACAACATATTTGTCCTCAGCCATGTTTCCAGAAATAGGTTAATTGTTTCAGCTGAAATTTTCCAACATAATTCAGCCTGAGGCAGATACCAAACATGGAAAACTTACTGCCAAATAGTTAAGGTTGGCAAAGCTTTAAGCAACTGAAAACAATATCTTCTAATGGGAAGTGCCAGGTGATATTAATGATAGGCTGCATTAGCAGACCTCTATAATTCCCAAACTTTTCTGTGAGGGAGGTGTATTAGAGTCAGAATGAGAGGATATTATTTGTGGTGATTTGGTATAGTGGATATTGACCTATCATCTTAATTTAGTTTTCAATGACTACAGTATAGGATAAGGTCTTTGAATAAACCAAAATTGTATATATCTCTTGAATGAAAACAACTGCAAATAGGGCTGGTGACTTTCATCAATGCATGCAGATATCTGGAAGTTCAGACTGAAAAAAAAAATTAAATTATAGGTATAGAAAATGTCACCCCACTTGTATTGATTGGTATAAAAGTTATGTAAGTAATTAACTCATTTGCATACATCTGAGCCTAGATGAATGAAATAATATGCATTAACTGGAGAAGCAAGGATCTTTATTTTGTGTGATACCAGTTCTTTGTTTTGACAGTTCTGTCCCAGTCCTGTCACCCTAGTTACTGAAAAATGTATCCTGTGAGGTTTAAGGTCTTCTCCCATTTAGACCAAATTGTAAGTAAAAATGTTGCACTGAGTCACTGTATTTAATATGTCTACAATAATAAATCTAATAGCACTTTGCAAATTCAAAGGATAATGCCAAGTCCCTTGCCCACATAATATTCCTTTTTATTGCTTTACATTAATTTGTGACTTTTATGTTTATATAAGGTGGCAGACTATACTCTTGGGGGAATTCTGCA